AAATAGTATTGTTGTCAAATAATTTAAAAAGGAAATGTCTGTTCCCGATTTAAGTTAGGCAAGTTATTTAAATGTGTAGTGTTTGCGTAAATATAAGAAATCATTAGGTAATGATTTCTTATATTTACGCGAACACTACACATTTAAATAAAACTAATTTTACGGATTTTATCGCGTATATTAACTTATTTTATATTCCCGACGTTTCAAGCACTTTACAGCACCCATGGTCACGGGGGGGACTGAGGTGTATGACGTCCCAATGTCATAGTTAACCACAGCTACCTCCAGATTAAAAATTATTTAAAAATTATTAATGTAGTGACGGGGGCGATCCTGTACCTACATGTTCAAGTTCAAGGAAGTCTGCAGTCTATGAACATGTACAGGATCGCCCCCGCCACTACATTAGATTTGATAGACCACAAATCCTCGCTAAAGAACACCGATTCCTTCCAAGGATGATTCGCGAGGCTATTGAAATCAAAAAACATCCTAATTTCAATAGAGAAGATGGCTGGGTGCTACCATCTGCTTGGGATCCCATAATTAATCAAATTAAATCCCAACCCAAGCATACAACTGCAAGAATTCATGATACTGTAAGTTCATACTGCGTAGATCGGAACAAAAATTAATAATTTTTATCTGGAGGTAGCCGTGGTTAACTATGACATTGGGACGTCATACACCTCAGTCCCCCCCGTGACCATGGGTGCTGTAAAGTGCTTGAAACGTCGGGAATGTAAAATAAGTTAATATACGCGATAAAATCCGTAAAATTAGTTTTATTTAAATCATTAGGTAAGTTATTATTATTATATATTATCAGGCAGGCAGTTGAGACGACTGATAATGCCTGTATCCTGTTTGTGTTAGGCCTTTTGCAGTTTAGAAAATTATTATTTAATCTATTTTTGAATTGATTTACATTTTGGGCTGAGGCTACCTTTTTTTGGCAGCTTATTCCAATCTGGTGACTACACAGTTACAAATGAAGTGCTTGTGAGGGTTGTTTGAAAAACTAGTACATAGCTTAAGACTGTGGCCCCTGAGGTGCAGATTTTTTTTATAGTATAGGGTGACAAACGAGCACACAGTCCACCTAATGGTAAGTGGTTTCTGTGACGCATAGACATCTACATTTATCCTCAATAAAGAATCAAAATACAGATGCGTCGTCACCCGTGAGCACTAAGATGGGATGCCTCTTTTCCAGTAAAAAGGGTCTCCGATTCTATACACGCACCATACGAAACACAGCAGTGTCAAGTTGCCATTTTACACTAGTATTCTGCGAGAGCGTGGTCTTTCCCCGGTCGAGCCGACCCATTCGTGCTACAACTATACCAATAATATAGCTGCAGCATGCTTCCATGTCCTTTATAAAGTAGCGATTCCACACTTGAAATGCATATTCTAGATAAATGTTTTGTGGATCTTCAGCATCATTTCCGGTGTGAGGACAGCAAAAACTTCTCTCATTAGGTAAATTAGTTCTGTAGCTTTCTTGACAATTGTTGATATATGCTCTATAAGTTATCATGCATTGCTTGTACTAGGGCCTACAAACTGTCAAATTTGACATCATTGTCACATTTAGCATGGTACTACATTTTTATCAATTTCTATATCGACTTTTGTAACTTCGAAGAAATGGGGATTTGATTTATCATACCTTCATGGTGTTTAGTTGCTGATGGTACTGGGTCTACCCAAATGCCACTTCAACTACATTAGGTATATCCTCGTACCAGTATATCATAAGGTTAGATTAGGTAAGATTCGCAATATGGCAGGTTTGAAAGATGACCTTATCACAAAAATTGATAAGGGCGTGCTTCGGTGGTTTGGGCACGTTGAGCGAATGAGTGAAGACCGAATGGTGAAGAAAATATATCGCGCGAAAGTTAATATTAAAAGGTGTCGAGGTAGACCGAGACTAACTTTCGAAGACCATGTGAGCAAATTGCTCGAAGAGGGTAGGGTCAAGAGTACTCGGATACCTAGACGTGCATGTATGAAGAAGATAATGAATCTGAAAGAAGCGAAAGAGGTATGTAAGGATCGTGACACTTGGCGATCTGTTCTCTCTGGCTACCCCGTCAGGGATTGTGCGTGAAGATAAGTAAGTATCATAAGGTAACCTGATAATACCGCTACTTCCGTATCCATGCTGTATCCTAAAATTGTATTTTACACAACTTATATTGTTTATATAGACTAATAACATTGCATATTATTAGCTTATTTTTGACACATGGTATGCAATGATAAAAATGTCTAGCTATAATATATTTATGTTTTGAAAAGCTAAATAAATTTAATGAAAAATAAAAAAATCCTTCTTAAAATTATTTCAATAATTATTATTTTAGCTCCACAAGTACGGTGTTCACTAATGTACTCAACCTCCACCGCCAGCCAGCTAGCACGTATGCTGGCGGGGAGAGTTATAGAGAAGGTATATCTAAAAACTAGCCTACCTGAAATGATCTCTCGAAAACGTTGCTAGCTCTTAAGGCCTGTTTTCACTTTGATTAGTGCGAGTGCAGGTGATTAGTAAGTAATTGCGAGGGATTAGTGCAGGTGTGTAGTATAAGTAGTGTCCAGTTCTGTTTAGTGGCTGTGTTTAGTAAATTCAGTTGTTAGCCGTCGCCCAGTAAGTATGGATGCGAATATGTAGACCTCAAGTTTCTTATTTTAGTATAAACTTCTTTACTTCCAAACCCTGGTATGTTCATAGCTTCACTTATAAGTAGAAATGTCGCATCTCAGGCTCCTTTAATTTTGCAGTTAGGGTGTTTACTATTGTAAAGACATTCATGTTTTGGTACTCTTGCACAAATTTATAGCTTATGTCTTCGGTCCATTTTGCCATTTTATGCAACACATGCAAGCGTCCGACGCTAAAGGCTAAATACTATACACTGCTGTCCAGACGTGTTTAGTGGCAGGCATGCTGCGAATGAGGGTGAGGGGGAAGGCAGGGCGCGTGAAAGGCGATACCCACAGTCCACTCGCAAAAAAATAAAACCCGATTCTAATCACCTTACTATACAGGTTACTAATCACTTGCACTAATCAATCGCTGTCCACACGTCACCCTAATCACTAAGAACCTGCACTAATCACTAATCAAAATACAGGCCTTTAGACCATAATAAAAATAACCTAAGTTACTGCTTATAACATCAGCTATCTGGCATTGAAAGTCCCGTCAAAATCAGTTCAACCATTTTGGAGCCTAACCACGAAACAAACACAAAGACAGACACAAGAATTTTTGAAAAAATAAATGTTTTTTTTGTTATTAGTATCGTATATACATTCATATGCATTTAGTAATAAATTGTTATTTTAGCATTACAAACAGACATTTCAATTTTATTTATTTGTATAGATTTAAAAAAAGTACTCCTACACACACACCAGGACCAAGAATTTTACCTTTAAAAGAATAATGTTGATTAATCTGTTTTTCGGAACCCTACCTAACACGTGTAAACACGCACTTGACAATAAAGTCGAACGTCCACCGCGAACTAAACTATGTGAAAACTAGGCTCAGTGAACTAAACTAACCTGGAAAATCGTTGCACGTCCACCGAAAATTAAGCTAAAACAAACAAAACTAAGTGAAAGGCTCCAGTGGGGTAAGGTAAGGGGCGAGAGGCGCTTAGCTTAGTTCGCGTAGTTTCGGATCGGCCTACATAACTAAGATTTATACGTAGTAGAGCCATGCTGCAGCTATATTAGTAGTATAGTTGTAGCACGAATGGGTCGGCTCGACCGGGGAAGGACCACGCTCTCACAGAATACCGGCGTAAAATAGCAGCTTAACACTACTGTGTTTCGTATGGTGAGCGTAGAGAACCGGAGACCCTTTTTACTGGAAAAGAGGCATTCCATCTTAGTCCTCACGGGTGACAACGCATCTGCATTTTGATTCGCAAACGAGGATAAATGTAGATGTCTATGGGCCACAGCAACCACTTACCATCAGGTGGACTGTGTGCTCGTTTGTCACCCTATCCTATAAAAAAAAGATAGCTTGGCTATTTTACCTAGCTAAGCTGGCATAGTTTGCGGTGGACGCACATGTATGAAAAACTAGCTCAGCTATGCGAGCTAAGGATAAACTTAAGTTAGTTTAATTTGCGGTGGACGTTCGGCTTTATGAAGTGCGACAAATCGACAATGGTAGGAAATGCCATAAATATTTTAAATTTTAACTACCACTTGAACTGAATTGTTGCATACAATTATGTGCTCGGAAATATAAATTATTTAGTTTTCTGTGGTTATGGCAGCTCGACGACAAAGGTTTCGTTTTTACTCGACGATTAAATTGTGTAGAATTTACTAGAAAAGCGAAATAGCTAGAGACAATCACGCACAGTTTCAAACTAGGATATTTCATGTTTCTTATCGACGATGTGGTTACGTAACATACTTTTACAAAAATATTGACACGGATGTTGGACCAAACCAACCAAACATTATAAAAGATACCGATGGTAAGAGGCTGCAGTAGCCCATTGACACATCGACGAACGTAAAACAAAAATGGTTACAGGGGAACTCTCTCTCTGAGAACAAGATGGCCATCTCATAGCCTGTAATTCCGTAGACTCTATCAACGAAAACATAGCAGCGTATACATGTTTGGCGGCCAAAATATGTCAACGTTTATTTACATTATTTAATCTGTGCCAGCCTGGTAGTGAAATAGGACGCTTCTGTTACTTTTTTTATTTATTGTTGACGTCTATCTACATGTGCTTTGATTATACATAAATTTTTTATAGGATTTTGTACACGTACCTATAAAATTATACATTTGCATGCCACTGGCGAAATATGCTTATACCATCCCTAACGTAATGTTGCAAATAAATAATTATTATTATTATTCTAGTTTCGCAAGCAGGTCCTTTACCATATTCACTGTCCGATCGTCGAATTCTATTTCTAACTGCTGCTGTCTCTTTGTCCAGGTCGCCACGCGGCCGCGTAGTAGCCGAGGGTGTGTACAACAACGCGCACTTCATGCACGCGGCGACCTCGCACGTGGGGGACATCGTGCAAGTGCTCACGCAGTCCGGCAGCCTCTGGGAGGGGGTCTTCAAGACATTCAGCGCGCAGTTCGAGGTCAGTGCTTTATCTAGTTCTTACGATGTAGAGGCGGTGTGACAATATCCACTACCCCATATCATCCCGTGGGTGTTTCCTCTTGCGCCTGCTGAACAGATTTCAAGAAGGCGATGATACTGACAGATAGACTGCATCCGCAGGGAAAGCCCTTTACCGCGGGAAATTACGTAATTCAAACTAGAAAATTTGATTTAATGTAGGCAAAACCGCGTGGTAAAAAGCTAGGAATATATAAAAATCTATTAAACATATAGGTACCCCATATCATCCCGTGGGTGTCGTAAGAGGCTACCGGGGGAAGCAAACCAGGAGACGGGCAGCAGCGTCTTCCTAATAACGACTAAAAATATAAAACTGCGGTTGCAAACTCGCTTGCCGAGAGTGGTAACTATGCCAAATATCCCCTCTATGAATCAATGGGGGAGGCCTATATTTAGCAGTGGAATTTAATAGGCTGTAACCGTAACGGCTTTATCTATTTGCTTTGCTGCTCGCAGAACTCGATTACACTAAGGAAGGACAAAGTAGGCCTATGGGTCCCACGGTCTTAAATAAAACACATTTGTACGTGTACGTCGTACAATAAACAAGAAGGAGTCAGCTAGACGTGGATTTCGTAGTGCAGTTTTTCTGACTTAGTACGAGGGCGGCACTGAAAATTTCGGGAATCAAGGATGTGACACAACATTACTATTTAAAAATGTATTTATTGATTTTCGAAGTATTCGCCGCGAAATTTGACACATTTTTCCATACGATGGAACCAATCATTGAAGCAACCATTCCATTCGGAAGTTGGGGTCTCTAAAATGGCCGTTTTGTATGCGTCCACAGCTTCTTCAGGTGATGAAAATCTCTGTCCACGCAATTTATTCTTTATTTTAGGGAAAGTATAGAAATCATTAGGGCTTAGGTCGGGGCTGCACGGCGGATGGTCTAATAATTCTGTTTTCTTGCTCTAAAAACTTGTTCTGTGTGCGGTGTGAGAACTCGCATTGTCGTGATGGAGGATGATGCGGCGGTTGCAGTTCTCTTTACGAAGTTCAGAAACGACCTGTGGCAAACAAATGCTAGCATACCATTCTGCATTAACCGTTCTTTGTCCCTCAAGAGGAATAGTCGTAACATGGCCGGTTTTGGAGACAAACGTAGCCACCATTTTTTTTGCAACACTCCGTGAACGAACAATTTTTGTTGGCTTTAACTCATTTTCGAACACCCAAATTCGTGACTGGTTTTTTGTTTCGGGTTCGTACGCGTGTATCCTGGATTCGTCACCTGATAGGATGTTGTATACAGCATTTGAGGATCCTGCGTGGAATCTTTCGAGAGTTCTGACGCACCAAGTAACGCGAGCCGCTTTTTGCTCTTCACAGAGCGAATGCGGTATCCATCGGGAAAACAACTTTTTTACACCTAATTGTTCATGCAATATTATTTGTATTTGACTCATGCTAATGTCTAAAGTTGCCTGAATTTCTCGGTATGTCACATGTCGATCTTCCTCAATCAGCTTATGCACAGCATCAACGTTTTCTTGGGTGACTGCAGTTTTTGGACGACCTTGACGGGGATCATCACTGAGCTTGACACGTCCACGTTGAAATTCAGCAAACCAGCGATAAATTGTGGTTTTGGATGGGGCTTCATCACCAAATGCAGAAATCATCCGGTCACCACACTGTTTTTGTGTTAAACCACTTCGAAAGTCATAATAAATCATCGCTCTTGATTTTCTCGAGTCAATTCCATTTTCTCAACGACTAAACAAGTTTGATAAAACCTTGTGGCAAGACCGAGAATCTTTTTTTAAATAAATAAATGGTATTCGATTTTTAAAACCAAGGACTTTTCAATTAAAAAGATTTTAATATGACAGGAACAGTGGAAATATTCTATTCCCGATACTTTTAGTGCAGCCCTCGTAATGTATCTTCCCGTTTTTGTCTTAAGCTATCTCCGACACTGACATTGCCTAGATGCAACTACTTGGCCTAATCCAACTGTGGCTACATGAGCCTTTAAATCATCATTAACTTCATGAGTGACCTCGAATGTAATGCGATAACAACATAAATGGGTAGTATTAACGCTAAAATGCATTGAAGATAATCTTAGAAAAATTTCGTCATTAACAGGCTTATTGTAAGTTCTATTATGCTTTGCTTAGAATTTTTTTGCTTAAGAAAATAGTTCGGTCGTGGTTTGCACTAGATATAATTGTATTAGTATTTTACACATATTATATTTAATGAGACAACACAATGTTTTGAATATCGGATGTGTTAAGGTTGGCAGCAATAAAAAATATCATAACTAGCGTCTGTATTTTATTTAAATGTGGTAGTGTAATAATATTCACTGCCCCATATCTTCCCGTGGGTGTCGTAAGAGGCGACAGAGGGAAACGGCTAACTTTAGCAAAAAATAAAATAAATATGTTGGAAGCAGCTTGCGAAAATTATTTTTGCAAAAGCACCTACCTCCATCCCATAATCGCGGCAACTATTATTACCTAAATTAAACCTAACACTAACCGCTACGGTAGGATCCACACAACAACGTGGATAGTACGTACGACACGTGTTAGCGTCTCAAAACTAGTCACCGGATTCTCAGAAACAGACTGCGATAGGATTTTTGTACCTCAAATTAGGTACAAAAATTCCTTAGCGTTTATTTTTACCTCAGAACAACAGAAGTTACATATAGACTTTTTAAAAATTTCAATAACACGGTCGAGGTATACGTCAACTTAGCTAACTATTCCTAATCGATATAAATGAGATTTGATATTTAAATCTATTTGTAGTATTTTTAAGACTCATTTTTGCATATTTGTGTAAATTAAACTCTATTTACTTCCGATCTTGTAATTTTTTTATTTTTATATAGAATATGAGTGACAAACGAGCAAACAGTCCACCTGATGATAAGTGGATGCTGTGGCCCATAGACATCTACATCATCCTCAATTGAGAATCAAAATGCAGATGCGTTGTCATCCGTGAGGACTGAGATGGAATGCCTCGTTCCACTTACCATCAGGTGGACTGTGTGCTCGTTTGTCACCCTATCCTATAAAAAAAATTGCCAACCGTAGTATTTTAATATTTATTTGTTTCAACACAAAACTATCTCAACAAATAATCGTAATACGATGGTGCAACTATTCATTCTATATGCTATATACGTTTACATAACAAATTACTTAGGTATAATGCTAGCTTTGTGAACTCAGGGGACAACAAAACAAGTCTATTTCTCTGGCTAGCTGAGCAAGAGTACAGAGAGCACCACCCGAGGCATCCGTCCGGGACGTACATGTTCAACCGTTTTAGTATGTCAGAATAAAAAAAAGATTAAGTTCTAACCCTAACTTCATTATACCATTCCCTCCTTCCAAAGAATAAGGTTTATCCCTAAACCCACTTAATCCCTTAATGTATTCAACATTAAGGGATAAAGTGGCTTCACGCTGTAATGTTTCATATACAGATATCTTAGTTGTTATCAAGAAGACAATGATGCCCATCTCCTAGTTTGTTTCTCTCTGTCGCCTCTTACTACATCCACGGAACAATATGATGTAAGTATGGGAAATTGGACACACACGGTACACTAAGAAACTGTTGTCCTGATTGAAAATACCAATTACTAGAACAGACACCGGGAACAAATCATCAAAAACATCGAAAATCGTTATGACACGGCACAGACCAAGTTTGAGTCCGCGGTCTCTAACGCTTGTTGCACAAGTGGTAAAATTAAAAATGACTTCAATATAAATTGTTAAGGATAACTTAAAAACTACTAGTCATACCTTGATGAAATTTATATGGAATTACATAAAAAGCACCACCTTTCAAATAAAAAAGAATCACCAAAATCGGTTCACCTAGAAAAAGGTTATGACACATAAAAATACTGTTTAATTGCGTACCTCCTCCTTTTTGAAGTCGGTTAAAATGCAAACACCGAGAATTGTGGCATCTCTTCTTGTACTAAGTACATATAACTTCAGTGTGTTATATTTGTAAACTTAAATATGAAAATTCTAAAAATAATTTGAAGGTTACTTTTATTCATCCCGACGGAGCGTAAAAATAACGCATTATCCTTTCATGGTCACCGCTGTCCGCGTTAACTCGACCCGAACATTGAACGTTCGCCGAGACAAAGACTTCGTCATAGATTTGTGTCTCGGTGCAATTTTATATGAAAATTTAGTCTATCATCTATATAATGTCGCTTGTCTGACAAAAAAAGCGAGAATTTGGTATATACATGTGACTCGGAATAGTGCATAGTATGCGGCAAGTTAATAATGAACAATGACTAGGAGTTACATGCTTTACGAAAACAAAATAGTGGAATTAATTGTATAGTGCTATTTTACCCTGATATCACATCACGTCTTATGGGTGATAGAGCCACACTGCAGCTATATTATGGTTGTAGCACGAATGAGTCTGCTCGATTGGGGTACGACCATGCTCTCACAGAATACCAGCTTAAAATAGCAGCTTAATGCTGCCGTATTTCGTACGGTGAGTGAAGAGAAACGGAGGCCCTTTTTACTGGAAACGAAGCTTTCCGTATTAGTTCTCAGAGATGACAAATTGATTCTTAATCGAGGATAGATATAGACTCTTGGGGTCATATCTCATTGTATTATTATATCATCAATGTAAACTGATACGAAAAAATTTTCTTAAAGGGCAGTTTCGTACCGCCAAGCTGAACGTGATGTGAAATGAAATTTTCATTCAGATTTTTTTTATTGACTGTCAGGCACGGAGTATGTTCCTGAGCCTGAGTCTCTCAGTACGACTCAGTATTAAGGTAACCTGTCACAAAAAAAATTGCTGTGAAATCTGCTCATATTTTGCCATTTTGACAAATGTTTGTTTAGAAAGTTATTGAGATAAAACCTCTTTAATTATTTTGTACATCATTGCCAAACGTTGTACAAAGGTTGTCTGGAAGAAATAACTTTAAAGATATGACAGCTTCGTGACGCAGCGGCTTAGCGATGAGTAACGGCGCTGAGGGTTGCAGTCGAATCCCGCACGGAATGAGAGTTTGTATGGCCTGCAAATAATTGTTCCGGGTCTGGATGTTTGTCCTTGTGCATTTTATGTATGTAAACTGCCTCCGCGTTACAGGGATAATTCCTAGTGTAGGAGTAACGTTTTAGGACAAAAAAGAACAAGAAAGGCGGCTTATTGTATCGCATTTCTTTTAGGCGCATGTTTAACCCGGCGTCATTGTGGTAGAAAATATTTGTAACACCGGATGTTGAGGTGGGTCAATATGACCCGTATATGTAAAATGTGTTATTTCCATGTTTATTCAAATTTTCTGTAATCTATCTTACGAGGGTGGATTGAAAAGTACTCGGCCTAACACAGATCCATTCAATTCTAAAAATCAAATCTACCCACATTATTTAGTTCAGTTCAGACTAGTTCATTGTGTGAAGTTCGAAACGTGTGCGATAATTAGTTGTGATTTTATAAATTTATTAACAAAGTAATCGGACATAATTTCCGCGAATGGAGCAAATCGAGCAGCGTGCCGTCATTAAGTACCTCCATAAGAAGGGGCTATCATCAAAAGCCATCCATGATGACATGGTCAGTACATTAGGCGATTGTGCTCTGTCATATTCATCCGTCAAAAAATGGATAGCAGAATTTAAGCGTGGTAGAGAGAGTGTGAAAGATGAACCCCGCTCTGGAAGGCCTTCGACGTCAACTACTGACGAAAATATTAAAAAAGTACTTGATTTAATAATGGGAGACCGCAGATTAAAAATTAGAGAGATAGCCGAGATTATAGGCATCTCTTATGAACGAACTCAAAACATCATTGTCAACGAGTTGGGTTTCCACAAGGTGTCTGCGAGGTGGGTTCCGCGACTGCTTTCAGTTGAACAAAAAAGGACGCGATTGACTATTTCACGCGACTGTTTGGAGTTATTTGAAGCCGATGCAGATGATTTTTTGAATCGTTTTGTTACTATGGACGAAACATGGGTTCATTACTGTACACCGGAAACAAAACAACAATCAAAACAGTGGAGAAGACCTGGTTCACCACCCCCTAAAAAGGCTAAGTCGATTTTGTCGGCAAATAAGGTGATGGCTTCAGTATTCTGGGACTCGAAAGGTGTGATTATGATTGATTATCTTGAAAGGGGTCAGAATATAAACTCTGATTACTACTGCACCTTACTACGTCGTTTACGAGAGGAAATAAAAGAAAAACGTCGAGGAATGCTCAGAAAAAAAGTCCTGTTTCATCAAGATAACGCCCGTGTTATGGTTTCCGATTTCTCGAGGTTTTTTAGTTCTCGAGTGTCGAGACTTCTCGAGCCTGATTTCTCAGGTCTTCTCGGGTTGTCGAGAAAAAATAAAATACGTCTAAATTTTTGTTTAATTAATAAAAAGAGTCTTTAATTTAACTGTGTTTATTTTACATGAAAAAAATCAACATAATTTTTAACAAAAAAAACAAGTTCTCAATAAAAAATCAGCTCAAAACAAAATTGCTAACTAAAAACAATCATACTTCTTCTCCTTATCATAACTAATCTCATCTCACTAATCTGTAATAAAAAACAAAATCTCTGTTAACAATCAGCTTAAAACAAACATCTTAACTAAAAACAATCATACTTCTTCTTATTATAACTAATCTCACTAATCTTTAATAAAAAACAAAATCTCTGTTAACAATCAGCTTAAAACAAACATCTTAACTAAAAACAATCATAATTTTTCTCATCATAACTAAAGATCACTCACTAATCTCACTATGTGGGTGGTATGGTATCACAATTTTTGGCAGTTTTAATGTAATTAAATAAGAGATATCTATCTACTATTAATACGAAAAATATAACTGTCTTTAAGCCTGCTTATTAATTCTTATGAAATATGCCTTAAGATAAACCAAAGCATTAATAGATTTATCAGACAGCCGGCTCCTAATCTTACTGACCACATTTCCCGATATGGAAAATACCCTTTCATTTTCTGTTGAAGTCGGCTTGACTGAAATTAATGCTTTGTATAGTGTTTCCAGATTAGGGGTCCTCTTGCCTGTTTTTTCAAATAGCAAAAACTCTTTTTTTATAATTGATTTGGAAAGCACCACAGCATTAGTTGATTCACCATTTCTCGAAACACCTTTTATTGCTCTCTCTAATTGAGCTGCAAAGCTGTCTTGTTCAGTTTCTGATTCGCTTACGCCTGCTTCGACAACTTCTGAATTATTTCCTGTCGAAGGTTCTGTAGTAGTGGGAACAGTGGGGTATAGACGATTGAATAAGTCTTCAGCGTATCCAATTAAAAATGTCTTGCTATTATCGGTAAAATAAGCACTCTTTTTGAGAATAAAATTATCGGGGCTGTTTAGGTAGCGTAGCAGCGATATTAGAGGTGTATTCCGACGATCTGATATTTTCATTTTAAGAGATTCTACTAACTGAAGAGCCAAAGGGTCGTCGATACTTTCTAATTGTTTTGGCAACACATCTGTTATAGCCTCTGCAGTTAGTAAATTGGCATCTTGTCTGCTCAATGCTTCAACTGCAAGTTTAGTTGGCGTCAATATCAACCGCAATTTTTGTAGTATAGGAATATTTTCCTCCTTCCATTTAAATGAGCTATCTAAATCAATATCAATCAAGGCTTTTTAATGGAATTTTTTAACTTCAAGAAACGCTCAATCATTGTTAGCATTGAATTCCACCTAGTTCTGACATCCTGTAATAAGAATAGTTCGGCCCCGAATTCAGTCTTCACATGTTTTTGTAGTGTGATATTTCTAAGGGGACTCTTTCTGAAAAATCTTATGATCGAACGGGTCTCATTTAGCACTTTGTTTATGTCGTCAATAGGCTGCAATATAGATTCATCATCAGATTCTTCGTCATCGTTATCAGTGCTGGCTTCATCAGAGCTGCTGTGTTCATCGTCGCTAACAGGTGTGTTTCTTCTAGCAACTGTAGTTACTGTTTTTTTTTTTGCAAAAGGTATCAAGAATAGCCAAATGGATGGCATGGTTTACACAGAGGACCATCTCACAGGGGCTCTCTCTGCCAAATTTTTTCATAACATTTGGCCCGTCGCTTGTTACGGCCAAGACATAATGCTCGAAGTTTACCCCAAAGTATTTCAAACGCTCCTCTACTATTTCTCTAACCTCTGCGGCACCGCATTTTCCGGGTATGTAAACTAGCCCCAAATTGTAAACTTTTGCCTCTGCTGTATGAACACAGACGCTAAAATATCGTCTGTTTCGTATGCTCGTCCACTCGTCAATTGTCACACTTAGCCGGTTTCCTGATGTGCAAAGCTGAGAAAGCTCTTTTATCATCTCTTTCTCCTTTTCATCATAAAACTTCAATATTAGGTTCATAACTTCGGTTTGGGTCTTTGGAAGTTTATACCCCTTGGCAGCAAGTGATTCACGGATAAATTCACTTTTAGTAATGCCTCTTATAGTAAAACCATCTTGGGCTGAAAGTTTAGCTAAAATTTCACCTAACGATTTTCTGGGTTGAACGTCAAATTTCAGTGTTTGCTGTACGTGCATAGTTTCAAAATCACTTCTTAATTTTTTTGGTGCCGTCACCCCGGAACTAGACGAACTGGTAGATGCTTCTTCTGTGTCCATTTTAACCTCGGTGGATCTTACATCAATTTTGTGTACATGAGCTAAATGCCTCACTAGTCCGCTTGTGTTTGATCCTTTACAGGCTATGGTTTTAGGACATTTTAGACATTGCGCATTTGAGGCGTCCTTATTTTTCTTGAAATATTTCCAAACTTTGGAAGTTTCCATTTTGGTTCATT